GTATCAATTCAGCTTAAATGTTCAGACTTTTGTATCACTTATACCATTTTGCAATTTATATATCACCAGTATCATCACTGTTTGTCTACATTATAAATCAAGCTTCACCAACATCATCACAGTCTATGCATCATCATAACATAATTCACTAGAATCATCAGTATCCACACCATTCCAACTCTATCAGTCACATTGAATCGAAATTTCATTTCATTTCACTCCACACACCATTTGATGTTCACCCAATATAATGTCCCAACAGGTCAGCAGGGCCATTTCACAGCATTCCAGGATCTGAATACCTGCAACCACCTTTTTGATCCAATTCCAAAAGAAAAACAAACAAAAATAATTGTGCCAGACACTGTACCAGTTCCTGTTTGTCTTCTAGGGGATCCAGCATACCCACTACTTCCTTATGTAATGAAGGAATTTCCAGCAGGAGGATGCACTGTTAAGGAACAATTTTATGGTTATTGCCTCAGCTCTGCGAGAATGGTGATAGAATGCTCATTTGGAAGGCTAAAGGGCAGATTTGGTGCCCTTCGACGAGAAATGGACATCAATATTAATGAACTGCCTCAGGTACTACATGCGTGCTTCATCCCACATAATTTTTGTGAGATCAACAAAGATCCATTGCCACAGGAATATATTGATTGTGAAATGAGATATGAAAGAGAATTTCAACCAGTGGCAGCTACACCAGGCAGACAGCAGAGCAAGGAAATTCAAAGTAAGGAAATTCGCAATGCCTTTGTTGAGTATTTTGACTAGTTATAACATGGTTGAACATTGTTGAGTGCATATTCAACAGAGTTAATATTGACTTTCTTGAAATAAGTTAATTGAAATTATTATGTTACAGTCCAACCTCGCAAGCAAGGGCCTCCACACCCGCAGCGGGACGGAGACCCTTGTAAAGGCTGGTCACGTGACCTCCCAGATTCTGGGAGGTAAATCAAATTATACTGAGGGAGGGGTGGTTGAGGAGCGGGTC